AGAACACAAGCTGGGCATTTCATTGGGTGCGCCCTTGCCCATCAGCGCCTGCTGCAAGTTGGTTGTGCACCTGGCTTGGCACCCGCGGGCATTAACACGTGCACCATGACACATTGCTCAGCTTCCCATTTCCGGTTTTGCATGCAGGTGAGCGCTGGAAGCCTGGCGACGAGAAATTCGTTGCAGCATTGTGCGAGGTTGGGGCCAAAGTGTGCCGTGAGGAAGAGCACACCATTCAAGATCTTGTGTTCAAGCTGAAGGTCATGCGGCAGAAGAAGGCACATGAGAGCGGCAATGCAGCCACCAAGATTCTACGGCGGATCATCCCACATCGGCAGTGAGTTCCTTTGCTCGCTGTCCTACATGCTCGCTGCCCTGCTGCCTATGCGCAGGCTGGGCTGGCTGCCTGTGCGCAGGCCAGGCCGGCTGCCCTGCTGCGCTGCCTGTGCCCTGCTGTGCCCTGCCTGAGCAGGCCAGGCTGGCTGCCCGGCTGCCTGTGCGCAGGCCAGCTGCCCTAGGGCAAGGCCTGTTGCCTTGCCCTACTGCCTGCCTGCACCAGTTGGTTGATGCAGTGTGCCTGCCTGCTTGCTGCCTGCTGCAGGAAGATCGAGAAGCACCTGAAGAAGCACGCGCAGTGGCTAGCGCACAGGGACGGCACCGCGGAGGCCCCCGTCACGAGAGAGCTTCTAGACCAAGTGTGCAAAGGTGCGTTTGGCCATCAGTGGTGATGTATCGCACTCAGTTCTTATGTGGATTCTGATTTCATCTCCATGTACCATCGCAGGAGAATTCCCTACGTGACGATTTTCGATTTGGGGGGATTACTCAATTGCAAACAGCTGTTTTAGCGCGCTGTGCCGATGTCTGGCCGCAGGGAGGGAGCCCGAAGCAGCTCTGGGGGCTATGGGGGAAGGGGCCAGGCAGGGCGGTGGTCATGCATGGCGGCGGCGGCGGCGGCGGCGGCGGCAGCGGTAGGCTGCCGTCAGCAGCGGCGGTGTGCATCATTGGAGGATTCAGCATGCCGCAGCGCGGCATGCTTAAAAGCGCTATCCTATCTAGACGGCTTTGCTGGTGCAGTTTTCTTGTGCAGGCATGGTGCCGCCGCTCAGTGGTGCCGCTGGATGGTGCCGTCGACCGGCTGCTTCTGGTCAGCCCAGTTGGCTAAGCCGCCCTCGAGGTTAATGGTGGTGAACCCCTGCGCCGCCAGCCGGGCTGTCGCATCCCCGCCACGGCGGCCGTGCGCGCAGGTGCAGACCAGCGACGTGTCCTTGCTGAGCTGCGCCTTGACCTGCGGCAGGCGGGCAGGGTGCGCAGGCGGGCAGGGTGCGCAGCAGCGGTTGCACAAGAGGGCAGCACCCGCATTCGACCGGCGACACGACCGCCAAGCGCCACTGCACTTTTGCAGCGCTGTCCAGCCGCGTGCAGCCATGCCTGCAATGCTGCTGCTGCTGCCGCTGGCTGCAGGCCAAGCGAGGGTGCTGTTGGGTGGGCACGGCGGACGCGTGCCCACCTGCTCCTCAAAGTCGGGATTCGGCACCATGCCGCCCTTGCCATCGTCCAGCTTGATGGGGATGTTTATGGAGCCAGGAACGCTGCCCTGAGCGCGCTCCTCAGGTGTCCTGCATGGCACAGGGAGTTCGGTTGTGACAGCAGCGGGCGGCGGCGGCGGAGGCGGGAAGCACACGCTCCAGGCAGGCGCAGTCCTGCCGCTCCGCATTGCGCACACCTGACATCCAGCAGCGTGTAGCCTTTCTGGTCGATGAGCTCCTTGGCTGCCGGTGGCTGCACGCTGGGCGGGGGTTGCGCGGATGCCATACGTGGTCTCTGCCGCTCAGCCTCCTGAAGCTGCTGTTAGATTGATTTACAAGAAGAGCGCGGCGTCCCGCTGCCACGCGCCTCTCCGGACATTAGCTGGCACATGCTGAGGCTACCACAGCAGGGGGAGGTACACCCGCAGCGCCGTCAGCCACCCAGCCGCGTCTGGGCTGCATCTGCACCTTACGGTCATCTGCAGAGAGACCATTACATCCTGATTGTTGTACACAAATTGCTGACCTCAACTGCCGCTCGACTGCTGCGCACTCAACAACCGCGAGCCAGGCACCGCGCCTCTGCCGGCCACTCTCATGCCTCCACAGGCAGGTTGGCGCCAGCCCAGGCTGCAGGGGGCCCGCCGCAGCATGTCAGTGGGATGTCCAAGCCGTGGGGCACGGCTGCCATCGGAGAGGGCGCGCGGTGAATTGCCAAGCCTGTGGACGGCGGCAGCAGCCACGGCAGCCCACCAGGCTCTCCAGCTCTCTACATGCGCAACTCACCCGAGAACCCTCCCTCCATGTTCACCACGCCGCTGAACCCCGCATCTGCCAACATGCGCGCTGCCGCCTCGCTGCGCTTGCCGGACTGGCAGCCAACGCACACCTGGGCAGCCTTGTCGGGGCAGGCCGCCTCGAACTGCGGCACCCAGGGGAGCGGCGAGGCAGGGCAGGCGCAGCTCAGGGTAGCTTCAAGCACAGTGTCGGCTGCAAAGGCTGAGTGGCACCCAGCGAGGTAGCCGGGCCATACCTGCTTTAGAAAGGTAGCCTGTCCGTACCTGCTTTAGAAAGTCGGGATTGGGCGCCATCCCTCCGCCCTGCTTCACAAACACGGGCACGTTGGCAGCACCCGCAGGGTGGCCGGCAGCATACTCTTCTGCCGTCCTGCAGTGCGGCACCCGCGGTGGAAGGGGCGGAAAACTGAGCTCCCCAACAGGCAGGCAGGCAGCGGGCTTGTGGGTGGCTTATGCAACGCTGCCCACCCGCCTGCCTCGCCTGCCTCGGGCAGCGGCAACGCCCCCCCCACGCAGCTGCCACGCTCACCGCACATCCACATACTTCACTCCGCCCTTGACCAGCTCGCTGGCACCCTGCACATCGACATTGCCGAAGGTGGCAGCACAGGCCACGCTGCCGCCACGAATGCCCGTGCTGGCGCTGCCCGACAAGGGCTGAGCGGCCGGCGGGCCTGCCGCAGCTAGTGGCTTGGTGGCAGGGGCACCATGCTGCGTGAGGCTGCATGCATGACATAGGGAAAGGACGGGGGGGATGGCTGCGGTACAACAGCAGGTGCAGCTCTGGGTCGCACTGGGCAGCAGTCGACGCCATGTGTGGCAGCGGCCGCGTGGCGGCAGGGGGTGCGCAGCGCCTGTGGGTAGCTTCTGTCCGCACAACCCGTTCCAAACTGTTGTTGTTGTGCTGCATCCATCACAGCCTACCCGACCATGCGGCGAGCGGATAGAACCACCGTTCTAGAACGCACGCATGCTGAGCAGGGGGTCCTGCAACCCATTCTCGGCCATTCAGCACACAGACCGGCCGCCTCTTGCTCGAGGGCGGCCCACTTTGGCCTGGGCAGCCCGGGCCGCCCTCCCCCCCGGGCGCATGTTCGGTGTTGGAGGGGTGTGCCCAGCGATAGGGGGCCCCTGAAGGCATGCGCCGAGGCCGGGAAGCGTGGTTCGGCGCTGCTGCACGCTTGGCGATTTGAACAGAACCACGTGCCGCCGAGCTGCGGCCGCAGTTTCCGGCCCACGGTCTACGGTCGCAGCCACGGGACTCGGCGGCACGGCGTTTGGGCCCAAGCTTGCTGCCGCCGCCGCCGTGCCCGGGGGGCAGCGCGGCGGCGGCGGGGGCACGCTGCGACGCCCCCGTGCTGCCGAGTTGCGGCCGTAGTTTCCTGCCAGAAGCCCACGGCCACAGCCACGGGACTCGGCGGCACGGCGTTTCGGTCCACGGCTTGCTGCCGCCGCCGTCGCGGGGTGCTGCCTGCGGCGGCGGCGGCACGGCGTTTGGGGTCCACGGCTTGCTGCCGCTGCCGCC